GCTGAGGCGCCCAAGGTCACGGGCGGTGCCTCACTTTACTCGGCCAGCGGGGTCCAGCTGGGGAGGGGCCGGGGCTGCCCTGGTGCCGTTCTGAAGGCTGATGGAATGGCCCACGTGGTGCTCGGACTTCCCAGGTTTTCAACTGCTTTGACCCAAACATTAACTGAGTTGCATCCCCATCAACTTTGGGAAGTAAACTGCGGGGCATAACGCCATACTGACTGATTAAAAGTCACCCCAACGGCTCCCACTGTACGCGCTGGTTCAACTGTAGGGCTGCCCCCGGCACCGACAGAAGGGCCCTGGGCCTGGGCTGTTTTCAGGAACTCTGGCTCCAACGTGGACTCGGCGCCTGGCCCTCCCATCCCCAGCACGTGTTCCAGGCAGGGCCCTTTTCTGCCTCTGCTCTGCAGTCCCTGGGCCTGTCCACAGCCAGGAGTGCGTAAGCAGGTCTTAAGTCAAGCAGTGCCATCAGGAATGGACAGGGTTGCCTTAACCTTCAGGTTACGCCCAGGCCCCACGCACTGGTCTCTGCAGAGGCCGAGGTGTGAGGAGAGCCTGCCTGTGTCCTTGCAGACAGAGGATGTGTGTGGAAGGACACAGACATGGTGTTTACAGAGAGACACCTGGAGCCCGCACGTTGGCTGTGCTCTAAGACCTGCTGTGCTCCTCTCACTGCTGGCCTGTGCTCTTGGCTCCCCTGTGCTGTCCTTTCTGCCTCATGGGTGTCCTCCTGCCAGCCTCCTTGGGGAGGCCAGCCCTGACTGCTCAGACCAAGTTAGTTCCCCTGCGGGCTAAAGGCACAGGCATGGACCCTGGGTCTGCCACTTACTGGCCAAGTGACCTTGGGCTGTTACGCCTCCCTCTGGGTCTCGGTCTCCTTATCTGTCTAATGGGTATAATAGTGGCACCTACTTCAGGGTTGCTGCCATCATTAGATGACTTAATGTATGTGCTGTGCATAGAGTGATGACCAGCACACAGAAGGAACTGCATAGACTCTGTACACAGTTGTAATATGAATTATTTGAATAATTTCTGTTTAATGCCTGTCACTCCAAAGTAGATGGAACTTTTTCTTGCTGTATCCTGTGAACATGTTGAATGAATGAATGAATGAAAGCAAGTGGCTACAGAGAGGCCGATGTCACGCAGGTATCCTGCCAATGGCTGCACATTTTAACCATTTGCTCTTGAGTGGAGACAGCATTGCTGTTTGTTGCAAGCAGCTGTTACTCTCTTGACCTATAAAATATACATACGTGAAGAGAGAGGCTACAGGAGGAATAAACAACACACAAATACCTGAGTGTCCTGAAATATTTTAAGTGAAAATTCACTGTGGCCTCTTATGTGCTGCTTTCTCTGCTGGCTTCTTCCAGCCTATGAGGGAGGTCCCCACACTGCCATTTTCCAGATGAGGGAACTGAGCTTTGGGCAGGTGAGGGCACCTGCCCAGGGCACAGAGCTGGTAGGTAGTGATGTTTGTTCTGTCACCCACGTTCTGCCCTCTTCCCACAACACACAGTCGCCATGCTTATCCACGTCATCCACACATGGTCCTGACCAGAAAGTACGAGGCAGAGCAGCCAGACAGCTCCTGAGAAAAGCCAGAAGTCCTTACCCTGGAGGAAGAGCCTAGAAGGATGGTGAGACCTGGTTTAGGTGCAGAGCTTTGTGGGACCTCTGCTTTCAGAGCCCAGGGTCCACAGTCTAGTGACCTAAGCTCAAAGGAGCAGGGAGAGAAATGCTCGTCCGGAAGATACGGCGGGCTGCAGCCTCTGCTTCTACACCCTCCTTCCTCCTTCCTTCCTTCCTTCTTTCCCTCTTTCTTTCTTTCTTTCCTCCTTTCTTTCTTCCTTCCTTTCTTTTTCTTTCTTTCGTTCTTTCTTTCCCTCTTTCTTTCTTTTTTCTTTCTTTCCTCATTTCTCTCTTTTTCTTTCAACCTTCCTTCCTTTCTTTTTCTTTCTTTCTTTCCTTCCTTTCTTTTTCTTTCTCTCTTTTTCTCTTTCTTTCTTTCTTTCTTTCTTCCTTCCTTCCTCCCTTCTGTCTCTCCCTCTTGTCTCACTCTCTCTCCCTCTGGCTGAAGCAAAGCCATGTGACATTGCAAATCTGCTCCTGGATATGAGATTCCAGAAAGGAATAAATCACTGCAGCTTGTTTAGCTGTGCTGTGAAGGACCATCAATCTACTTGCTAAGCAAGTGCCTGCCTGCAGTGAGCTGACCTCATTAAACCCTCTCAGGGCTCCTCTGGCTGCACACATTGCTGCCCCTCTGCCCCTTAGTCATTTCTAAAGTACATCGAGTGCTTGTGAAAAGGGCTCATCTTAGACCACCAACCCTTTCAGCAAACACTGCACCCTGCTTGGCGCTGTTTTGGCAGCAAGCTGGCGTTGCTGAGTGTAGCTGGATTTGAACTAAGGACTCAGGACTACAGGGCTCATTATTCTTCCCCTTGACTGTAGACAGTCTCCTCACATTGTCTTTCTGTGGTTTCCTCCACCAGAAATGCATACCTTAATTGCTAAAAAAGCCACCCTTTTAAAGTAGCGTTTAAATGGGATGAGATCTCACAAATGGAAGGAATTCAAATGTGTCCTTTGAAATAGGAATCTGAGGGGCAGAGTGTGCCTGTCTGAAGGTTCAGCCAACCAGCCCATGGTCTGCAGAGCTCTTTACTGCCATCCACACTCCTATTTCTAGGCTCCCTTTCTGCACTTACATCCTGGAATCTCACCTGTTCCAACTCTTGGGAGTTCTTCAGTGAATTCTTACCTCCAGAAAGACGTAATGAAAGAACAAGAGTGGCGCTGTGGTTCTGGGTTCCTGGATTCTACTTTGCCCAAGCGGCTCTGCTGTTTGGAGAGTGATGCTCACCTGTCTCCCGAGTCCTTGAGGACAGGGTGCTGGGGGAAGCTGGGGCGGGAAGGCATGGACGGGCTTCCGGTCCAGAGGCAGTTGGATGAGGAAGCACACGTCCTGTTGGGATTGCGCCCCCCACCCCCACCCCGCTGGTTCTGTGCAGCAAAATATTTGGAGCAGGTTATCCAGGGACGCTTGGTTCTATGTTAAAATTATTTCTACATCTTAGGAACAAGATGGAATTAATTTCGTGTGGATTTATTTAAGCGAACATTGATTGGATTGGGTGTGGCTCATGAGCAAGCCATGACACTGGTTGGTTCAGAGACAGAAAGGGAGGCAAGGGAGTAGGTAGATACTTTCTAAATGTCGTCTTCAGACCTCAGCCGCTAATCAAAGCATGAACCAGCAGCTTGGAGACTTAAGGAACCTAGGTTACAAAACATTATCTTGATTCAATTGAGAAGCTCTCTTGGGGTGGGGGCTTCTAATTATTATTTGGGATGTTTGCATTTAGCTCAGAAGACTAAAACCTTCATAGTCGTATTCAGAAATATTACTGAAATATTGTCATTTCCCAGTCAAAACAGAAAACATTTTTTGACTCACTGCAGAAACACATGATAAGAATAAACCGATGACTAAGAAACTTAAGCCCTTTAAGAAATCTGGATTTGTAAAGAGATGCTACAAAGGGAGAAATGAGCAAAGTAGGATCCTGAAAGCTTTGTCAGAAGGCCACACGACGAGCTCACTTTATATCCCTGGGAATTCTCACCAGAAGTAAAGCCCTGTGTTTTGACCCTGGAAAGCATGTAACATTTCACTGCATGGTACCGGCCACAGCTGGGAAATAACCAACAGCTGCTTTGGGCAGCACCTCAAATATTGTGCAAATAGATGCACCAGGAAAATCTGGTCCTTTTTATCTATTGACCGAACTGCATTTCCAGATGCCTATGATTCAGGTATTTCAGACGAGCAGCTCGGGGGGGTGGGGGTGGGGGGTGGGAAGGACAGGCTGTGTCTCCTGCAGAACCGCACTAGTGTTTCCTGTTGTATCTTGCTCCTTCCTGTAACCCCTGGGCTGAGTGTAGGGGAACCCACGCCCTCAACGTCATTTCCGTCAACGTTTGGAGAGGATGCACAGCATCCCTGACTTACACTGTCTGCCCCGTCCTTCAGGATTGCATCTACAACGAACTGCTCGTACATTTCCTGCTATAGAACCATGATATTTCCAAGACAAGATAAACATTCTCAAACTGTCCTAAAGTTTATATCTTCAGTATAGATACAAGTCTGTATTTCAATGTGATATTCGAAATTGAAAAAACAAGCAGTGAATTTCAAGTTTTATTTCATGAGATGTTTTAGCTGAGGAGTCTTGCTAGCATATGACTAGGGGAATTCTAAATGAATCCTGGATGGAATATTCTGAACTGGACGGGCAGATAAACTCCAAATTAATGCTGAACAGAATTTGCTTATTCCTTTGAGTAGGTGTAATAACGGTGAGGAAAATGTTGGTGCCATAGCGGTTTCAGTCTATGGGGAAGGCAGTGCAATGCCTCCTATCTGTAATATAAACCTTTCAGTGTAATATAATTGTTAAATTTTTGTTATAAATTACTCAGTTAACCTTAGCGTATTTGCTGCACTCCCCTTACAAAAAGATGGTTCCTCAGTTTTCCATATATCAGAATTCAGCTGAAACCAGGATTTTTATTTATCTTTAGTTGAATAACTTTTTATTACTTTTTTAAAGGTTTAAAAAATTGTTAAAGTTTTTAAAAAATCTAATTCACTCAACTATCCCCACATAGTGATGTATGTTAAAAAGGTTAGTATCATATTTTCCATGTGAAGAAACCGCTATATTTTGTACCCTAGAGGGTCTTATGTACATCGCAAGCCAGGCAGCCAGAGAAATAGGAGCTAATCTTACATTTCCTAGTTTGGGGCTTGTGATTTCAGATGACAGAGTCACCCCAGGGCACTAGGTAGCTTGTGTAATTTAACTAGAAAGTGACAAAGCCCTGTGAATTAAACAAAATGGAATAAAATGTTTGTGTAACAATTAGTGAAGACCATTTGAGAGCCAAGAATAATTTTATCCCTTATTTTCCTCTTTTAGGTTCCGTAAATGAAAAGTTACCCCAACGGGAAGGCACAGGAAAAACAGGTAACTATCTTAAAATGAACTTCCTTGATATATTACTACAGCGAATCCAATGTATGCCGTAAAATAACTTCTCAAGTTAAAATGTCAATGTATATCAGTGATGGTAATGAGAGCTGAAGCCCTTTGTTAATTATTTATTCATTCAGCAAACGTTTATTCGACCCTTAGGGTTGTTGGGACCAGGCAGGTGCCGGGCACGTGACCTGCTGGGTAACCCACTCGTGTCTGCGTCAGGGCTTCTTAGACGTGGCTTGTGTTGGGACCGCCTGTGGACGGTGTTAGGCTCATCCCGGGTCCATATCTGTGCAGGGGACTCCAGGGCTGGCACGAGCGTCTAGCGTAGCAGTTGTCAGAGGTCAGTAATGGAGCTCTCCTCATAAGAAAGAGGGGGCTGTTTCCATCTATGACAGTCACTCCTTCTGGGACCAGCACCCATAGAAACCTGACGGAGCAGGGAGCATTTCCTTTGGAAATCATCCCACGGCTCCTGGAGCATCTCCACTGGCCGCCACAAGCCCACCGTGACCTCAGCTGTCACCCGTTAGTCCCAATGACACATTTTCTGTCTTTATATCAACCCGTGAAGTCAGAATTTATTTTTAAGATGAAATAAAAATAATGTACCAACATCTTAAGTACTTTTTTTTCCCCTGAGGTAGATTATAGTATATGAACCAGTAATAGAGAAAAGTGATATGAAGTGAAAAGACGCCAGTTTTATTCAACCCAGGTCTTTCAAGTGTGTATTGAAGTCACGGTGGCCACTGTCCTGGCCCTGGAAAGATTGTAGAGTCTTTATAGCATTAAGATAAGTCTATGAGATCCACACAGATTGGCACACGAGTAAATGCCAGCTGTGTAGACAGCACGCAGGGCGGGCGCAGACGAGGGCGGAATTGGAGCGGTTTCACAGAGGAGGTGAGTGGAGCACGGTGGGTGTGAGAGCTGGGACAGCTGTGACCTGGGCAGAGACCCTCACAGGTGGAGAAAAGCCCAGTTTGTAGGCGAGAGAGGGACCGGCAGGTGGGGTCGGGACCCTGGCTCGGGCGAGGGTTTCCGTTTGGGAAGGGGGAGACGAAGATGGGGTGAGCATTCTGGTACGTTTTAGACGAGAGGAAGTATGCATGTTCGTGGTGAGAAACAGGAGTCAAAGGCTGAAAGGGAGACGGAGGGAAACACTCTTTGAGGCGCCCGCACCCAATCCTGTCCGTGGTGAGACAGGTTGAATCCATGGTAAAAAAAATTTTTTAAATCCCCGGGGAATTGGCACGTGGGCTCAGAAGTGGATTTAAGGGAAGAACACGTTCCTTCTACTGAAGCCCCTTGATCTCCAGTCGTGCCTGTCAGAGGAAATACCTGAGAATAAGTAATGAAGCTGGGTGATCGGGGGGGAAAAAGAGACATTTTAACAAGGTCCCCTGGAGGGAAAGTGAAAGGCACCAAAGCTGTCCGTCACTTTGTTTCATTTTCTAAGACTGAGCCCAGTAGGTGCCAGTGGGCTAGTTGCACCGGGACAGACTCTCCAGGGGCCAGAGCCTGGTGGTGGGTTAGGAGGATCATGCTGCCCGGGGGCCTGTGGCCAAGGCAGGAACGTAGGGGCCCCTGGTGCTGGCATTAGGGGCGGGGGAGGGACAGGCGTGGGGGCCGGCACCCTTCATTGTCCCTCAGGGACGCCCCCGGCCCCCCCGTCACCCCTCGCCCTGGTTAGCTCGGGTGAGAACTCAGACTGGCCTGGACGCAGGGATCAGACTGGGGCTGCTGGCCCCAACGTGGTGGCCTGCTTAGGCCTCAGCAGAAACGTGCAACATTAACTATGTACCTTCTGGTTGTCATTCCAAAGGATGTTTAAATATGCTAAGACCTTTCTCAGTATGTTCTGTTAAGACTTTCAAATATGTTAAATATGTTTTAAATATGTTCCCCATTTCATTCTTGGAAGATTATAGAATATTCAATAGCGAAATGCTTCTCGTTTATTGCTACTCTCATTATTTGACTTGGCTGCTTCAGATAAATGTCAGTATTTTGACAGATAACAAGCCTTTTTTCTGGAGATGGTTAAATGTTAAAGAATTTTTAAAATATTCTTTTTCGTTTTCCCCTGAAAAGAACTTCAGTTTTTATTCTTCAGAGGAGCTGGGATAGTAAATGGGCCCCAGTGAACTACATAAGCCATGTGGCTGCCCCTTCCCTCTACCACTGCTTGCTGTATTTTGATCCTAAAATTGTTAAAAAAAAAAAAAGTCACACGAATAAAAGCACTAGGCTGGTTCTCGAGAGCCCCCCGCAGTGGGCCTCGTAGCAGCGTCCCTGGCTGGGGCCCCCTTGCCTGGGGTCTTCCAGAGGCTTGCTTACCAGGGAGCCCAACGTGTGTTTTTCAACTAATTCAATAAAGACTGTGTCCTTGGAATAATGTTTTCAGTGAAATGGCGGAGAGCTTTCTAATCCACACTCGTCCCTCTGTCCTCTGACACTCTCACCGGGTTCCCCACCAGCCTCTCACGTGTCGACACAGGAGGCCTGAGGGGTCGAGAGACCCATGGGGCACAGTCCAGGGCCTGGGTCTACATCCCTGCCTTCCACTCTGGAAAACAGAGGCACAGCAGGGATGCCAGCCCCCCCATGCCTGCCGTCCCTCCCTTGTGCGTCCGGTTGGCTCCGATGCTTTACATCACACCGAACCCTTCCCCGTGAGGTCTGTTTGGAGCTTTGAGCCTCTGTGTGGTTTACTGAGTGCTGGGTTGTGGTTTGGTGGGTCGTGGGGGTGTATGCAGTCCTTAGGGTCCATCCTGTATGCACACTTAACTTCACTTACTCTCATAATTGTAGTCTCCTTGCAAATCTTTTCCGTTCTGAATTCAGATGATGCCTCAGCTCCAGCGTTGGAGACTCAGCCTCAAGGAGATGAGGAAGGTGAGTGTCGGTGGGGAGTTGTGTTGGGGGTAGGGCGCGGGCCTGGGGGTGCAGCCACGTCCTCTTGCAAGGACTGCGCTACGGGCTGGGTCGGCCTTTTCCACCTTTATGAGGCCCCGCCATCCCTCCTGAGGGCCCCTGAGTGTTGCCGTGGTGCTTTCACACAGCACACGCAGAGGCCTCTCTTTAAGTACAAGTCTCGGAGTTGAGATTTTATCTGGATAACGTGAAATATATATTTCCAAAGGGTGCTCTAGCATATGCCATTTCCCCTGCTCACTCTTCATGTCATGTGATCACCACCCTTACAAAGACCAGTTTTGTGAAGTCACACATATAGAGATGTTTCAGAGGCTTTACTGAATTTTGTGGTTACCAGGAGGATGGATTGCCCACTCTTAGCCTTCAATACATTGTTGTAGGTATTTGCCACTGTATCACCAATTCTCGGGTCGAAAGGGGGGTCAGGTTTGAAGACCGAGTGTAAGGAGTGTGCATAATAAATAAATCAAAGATCAAAGGGTAGGATGACATCGTGCTTTGAAAATAATAATAACAAGGATAATCATAATAACTAACTTTTGCTTATTGGCACTAAATGCCATGGACTCTGTTACTTGAGCCCACGGAGCCCCCAGAACCCCATATCACAGACGAGAACTTGTCCGATGTGACAAAGCCAAAGGCACGTGTGACCAGCTGGTCGGCTTCAGTGTGGCTCTTGGGCACGTGGTATACTGATCACACCGTAAATATTTCAGTTACGTTTGTTAATATTACTACCAAAGATCTGTTCCCAGAATGTTGTAGGCAAAAATTACGCTTTACATACTGCACTTTGTATAGAATTTTTCAACTGAGTGAAGACCCTGTGTGTTACATGAATATCCATCTTTACCACACTAGGATATGTTTCTATACTTTGGGACTTTTTGCCAAAACCTGTTCTTTACAGTGGAGCCTGTCTGGACTCATATCACTTTTATTTATACTCTTGGACGAAGAAAGAAAGAAAAAGGCATATGCTAAAGTTTTTAAAAATGTATGTTGTCACTTCCTTTTGTTTCATGCACGTAATCATTTTATTATTTTTAAAAAATATCTACAATGTGTGTTTACTGATTTTATTGATTTTGGGGGCTTTTAGACTGCCTGCTGAAATCTTTAATTGAGAGACTTTGTGTTTTCATGATGAATTAAAATAATCATCATTTTATTTTGGTTCATTAGATATTGCATCACGATACCCCACGCTTTGGACTGAACAAGTTAAAAGTCGACAGAACAAAACCAATAAGAATTCAGGTAAAAAGGAGCCCAGTGTGACTTTGTTAATGGACCTGGAAAGTGGTCTTGTTTTCTGGAAGTTACATGCAGAGCACATCTTTTTCCCTGGCTACCAATGAGTCATGCAAATAATGCCATGGCTTGCCCACCAAAATACAGTTCAAATCTGAGTGTTTTATTAAATATGGTAAGTTATAGAACATATTATAGAATAGTTAACATTTTTTTCTCAGAAACTATCATTATGGGTAAGTTTTCCTATTGCATAGAGACATTAACCTGTACATTTCTCTTATGAGCTTTAGAAACCGAGTTAGTTTTGTTCAGTCTTGTCACCGTATTTCCAAAAGTTGCCTAATTCGGTTTGCTTCTGTACCATATAGACTAGTACATGGGAAATTAGTTCAAACATTGAATGTTGCAGATTTATTGGGGGACCTTGAAATTCAGGGGATTTCACTGATGCCCAGGGGAGCATCAATGTGGCAGTACTCAAACTTAATTTGAGAAACAAATATAAAATTATTGTAAAAATGTCATTGGAAATGTACATTGTTTTAAAAAGCAGTTTTAATTGTCTGGAGGAAGCTATTCAGAGTTTGACAGAGTTAGTTCCGTATAAGTTCATAGAACAAAGTACGTTTGTATTTCACCCATTACCTTCTGTTACCAGATTTTCAGGCCTTACTTGACCTGTCAATTATAATTAACTAATAAAAACAGTGCAGACTTGCGGTATTTAGTGAGACTGAAAATAATGCTTCAGGAAATGCCAGTTTACGTAAGTTACCCTACACTGTCATTTGATTTAAATCAGCCTAAATGTGTAGAACACAAAAAGGTGACATTGAGTTGACTTGTAGACATGGGGCATGAAATTATGAGGTTACATCTGTATTTAATGCCAGTTGTTCAGATACATGCTCTTTCTGAGGGTCCAAAGAAAGTCAGCCCTAGTGCGTATTGTAAGATGTTAAATGTAGTATTTACTTTATTAAGTTTAGTGATAAAATGGCAAACGATCAGATTTTACGTAATGACCACCGTCGTCACTGAGATTTCAATGTCAGAAGAGTTTCGTTTGTACTTAATTTTTATTTTTAAAAGATACTTTTAGTAATAATCTTCTTTGGTATAAGTAGACACATTTATTTAGCAAAACATAAATAAGTTGTGACTTTTTGTTATTCTGTGTTTTTGAAAATTTACCTTGTTTGTTGGTACTCTTTCATGTTCATTTATAGAAGAAGCCAAACTGAGAATGCATTTGCTTCTCTTCTCTGGTGTTTCTTTATATCAGTTAAAAGTACTATCCCCTGCCCCCCCCCCACCCC